AGGATCTGGTGAGAGCCGAGCGCGGCAGCCGCTTTGTGTGCCAGGTCGGGGGGACTCCTGCAGCTCCCTGACCCCAGGAACCCTGCAGCTCCCTGACCCCGCTCCCAGGCCTGCTTCTCCATCCCACGCCCCCTCAAGCTCCAGAGCCCCCCTCCCCCTACCAGCCGTTAAACGATTCAGGGGTTCCCCTCCCCCCACCCCCTCAGCCCGGGACTCGTTGGGGTTCTCTCTGTCTGCTCCACTCTCTGGAAGAAAAATAAGACAAGAAAGTTTTTCTCTCCGTCCCGCCCCTGCCCTCTGCTCTGGGTTGGGGAGAAAGACTGTATCTGAGACTTTTCCTTTTTTAGCCTCCCAGGGTGGGAGAGTGGAGTCCTCACTCTCCCGGAGGGGTGAGGGGGAAATAGTTTTGCTGCTTTTCTGGGAAAATGTGCCTATCCGACTTGGGGCCAGTGCCGCGAGGCATTTTGCACGTGGAGGTGGGAATATTGAAAGGGGGCGGGGTGGGCACGTGCGGGAGGGAGAGGTGGGAGTGATGTTTGGGAAGCAGCCGCCGAGGCAGCTTATTTAAAAGGGTTCCAAGTCGGTGGGCTTCTGTGACCATTGCGTTCTCCTTTGTAAAATAAGAATCCTAACATTTCAGAGTCGGAAGAGACGTTAGAGGTCACCCAAAACAACCGTCCCTTCTGCAGCCTCTCTGACAAGTGGTAGGTAATCTAGCCTCTGCTTAAACCCCTACAAACACTGAGCGCTCGCTATTGCCCAGGAAAGCCTGTTCCGTTTTTCTGTAGTTCTAAATTGTTTGCTTGCCCTTATTAGACCCTTCAGCCTCATTCATGTCCCGGTTAAGTTGCTCCTTTTTTTTACTTCTCAAATTTTCTCTCACATCCTCCTCACCCACCCACTGCTCATTGGCCTATATTTTGTGTGCCAGGAAAGAACAGCAGGGAAGTGGAGGAAGGAGGGTTTGAGAGATAGTGAGGGCCAACTGAAAACTTTGCTGGGTCAGTTTCAAGTGTGCTGGCTTACATGTCTGAAGATGATTGATATTTTCACTAGAGAATTACAATCTAGAGATTTCATGGCTATATTCTCTCACTAGTGCATCTTTTTGAAGTTAAAAATTTCATCATCGTCTTTGTAGTTCTCCTATCACAAGACACATTTGCTTGTTACCTAAATCACTTTTTCAAAGGATGCCTAAAATTGCCTCCTGGGGATAGTACTGAAGCTGTTAGAAGCATCATCTGGTAGAGGGATGATCTAAAGAACCACTTCCCCTCCACCCATTTGACCTGTGTTCCTTGCAAGCTGGTCTTTTTCTTCAAGTCCCTCTTCCAAATGTTTTATTTCCTTTTTTTAAACAACTTTTTCATGATATTTGAAATTTATATTTGCCTAGTGTTTACAATATTTTCAGTATTCCTCACATTAATATGCAGCAATATTTATCACTTGGTAGCTGGGAGAGTTCAGTTGAAACTATTGTCACTCTGTTTTTCTAAGTCCTCCTTCATTTGGTGAGCTATGCTGCCCCCAAAAGTAGTTTTTGTTGGCATAAGAATCTTGGGTGCACATGTTTTCCTCTTCCTAACATAGTGGAGTGGGAGTCAAGACATAACAGATACAATGTAGAATACCTCTGGTCTAAAAGCCAGCAAATAAATTTCATCTTAAGCCCCTAGTCTCCTGTTTGAAAGGATAGAGGACATTTTTTCTTCTCCCGCTTTTATGACTTAGAGACTGTTTCTTTGCTCTTGTGTGCTTAGACTGTTACTTTATTTTTTGTTTGTTTACCTCAACACCAAAGAGTGTTTAGAAAGAAAATAGCTGTCTCTTTTTGCACCACCTCCTTCTCTGAATAACAAGTAGCTTCTATTTATATAGCACCCCATACTCAAGGCTTGTGGGTACCTTGCAAATTACGGCAACATCTGCCTTGAATAAGTATGTGTTCTTAGTGTCTTATGTTGGGCCATATTTTTTAATCATCCAGTTTTTAACTTTATGTAAACTTTGACATAAAATATTTCTTCTAAATCTAGTTACTAGAATTTAGCATAGGATTGAATATTAGATGGTGAAAAAAAATTGAGAGCTGAATAATTGTGTCTTCAAAGTTTTTAATTAATATGGAGTTCCAAGTTGTTTTCCTGCTTACTTTAAACATGAACTGTCATGACTATAGTTAACTGCCTTTGGAGACATTTGCATTCTAAACATACTAGACAGGAACAACTGGTTTTATTTTTGAAGAAGACATTGATGTATTTTTTATGGCTAGTTATATGTTGACCTTATTATCTAAATCTTTCTAGATGTTCAGATGCTAGTCCCTCAACTGTTGAAAATTAAAATGAAACAGTTTATTTTAAAACATAGTGGTCAAAAGATGGTAAAACTCTAGTTTAGAAGTATAAACGACATATTAATATCATAAATACTAAACCACAGCATTACTAAAAGCCAAGAGTGCTCAGTGGTCTGAGTGACCACATTCTAAAATTAGACAAGTCACATTCTTTGGGTTGCTCCTTCTTTCTCAGTGTTTCATCTTTAAAATGTTTGCTAAATAAGATTTAACCTTTCACACTTAGAATTTCAAGGTAAGTCAGTTAATATGTACCATTAGTCTCAGGGTTTCAAGTCTAAGAAAGACAGAAAACATCAAGACAATAAAAGAGGAAGGACTTAAAATAGTTAAAATAAACTGTGTTTCCTAATAGGGTATTCTCCACTATCCAAAAAGACTTTTGATTTTATACAAAAATTGCAAATTGGTCTAGGTTTAATCATTCTTTTTTAATAAACCTTTGTTTTAAGGATTTCCCCCACACACACAAATTTAGAATTTCTTTTCTTGCTTTGCTGGAACCCACAAGAAAAAGTGAAAAGGAAATAACTCCTATTTGAACAAACCCTGAATGTGAAGTAGAATGATGTAATACGATAGGAAGGGCACTGGCAGATGGGGTTATAATTGCAGTTCTGCCACTATCTAGCTCCATAGCCTTCGTTGCTCAAGATCCTGTGCCTCAGTTTTCTCATCACAGTTGAAGGATTGGTCTGGAATCATCATTGTCCAATGGAACTTTCTCCCATGATGGAAATGTCCTATGTCTGTACTGTCCAGTATGGTAGTCACTAGCTACATATGGCTATGGAGTACTTAAAATATAGCTAATGGGACTGAAGAACTTAATTTTTTGTTATTGTTTTAGTCAATGTAAATTTAAGTAGCCAAATGTCTGCCATACTGGACATGCAGCTGTAGAACAGTATTTTCCAAGCTTAATTAATCACTGGAATCACCTCTTTGGGGCTCCTATTAAAATAGAACCTGTCTACTGGAGGTTATTCAGTAGGTCTGCAGTGGGGCCTAGGAATCTATTTTTAATATATGCTCCAGAAAATTTTTTTATCAGATTGGTTAAGGAAACACTCCATTAGGATATTTTCAATCTCACTTCTAGTTTTCCCTTTAGTATTGATAATTTAGAATTTAGTGTAGTAGAAGTAAGCTCTGGACAAAGTCAGCAAACTGGCTGGTTTCTAGCTCTGACTCTGCCAGTCCTGACCTGTGATCTTAGGCAAATTGCCTAATCTCTTTGAGCTTCATTTTCCTCATCTGAAATATGGGGTGAGCATCAGCCCTGCCTCCCTCCCAAAGATTCCATAAACCTCCACTCAAATGTGATGACCACTGCATGAGAAAATGCAGGCTGCTAGAAAGGATAATTAAAATGTTGATGGCTGGGCGTGGTGGTTCACGCCTGTAATCCTAGCAATCTGGGAGGCCGAGGTGGGAGGATCGTTTGAGCTCAGAAGTTCGAGACCAGCCTGAGCAAGAGTGAGACCCCATCTCTACTAAAAATAGAAAGAAATTAGCTGGACAACTGAAAATATATATATAGAAAAAATCAGCCCGGCATGGTGGCACATGTCTGTAGTCCCAGCTACTCAGGAGGCTGACGCAGGAGGATCGCTTGAGCCCAGGAGTTTGAGGTTTCTGTGAGCTAAGCTGATGCTACGGCACTCTAGCCTGGGCAACAGAGCCAGACTCTGTCTCAAAAAAAAAAAAAAATGTTAAGATGTCTTCCTAGAATCCACTTCTTTTTCCCTTTTCTTCATATTATCTAATTCCTACTCCTATTCTTGTAAAACTGGTATATACAGTACTCATTAGTTTACTTAAATCATTATGACTCAATTATTCGGCCACAGCTTACAGTTTAGTTGTAGAGCAGGCATATTAAGTCTAACACTTTTTTATATTTCTGGTGTTTAGCATAATGGTTTGTATATATTGCTCAATAAATAATGGTTGATGTAATCTGTTACTGTACTTTTGGACGAAAACTTTAATTTGATGGTTAGATTGTTTTATATACCAGAGAAGTATCCCCCTGTGTACATAAATGTGTTTTACCCAATTTTAATTGTTTCATTAACATAGTTATTATTGTTCAGTGATTATGTATCTTTTGAGCAACCAGCTCCAATATATTTTTAAAAGATAAACACCAAGAGAATGTCATCATTTAGCAGCTATCCCTTGGGTGAAAGGTCACCCTAGTACCAATGTGAACAGACCAGGGAGCCAAAAAGACCGTGCTTTCCTATATCCTAATGCCTTCATTTTGGAAATGCTGTAGGACACTTTTATCAGTTATATCTAATAGCTAGAAGAGAAATACTTTCTCCCCTACTTTAATATCAAGTATTTTTAGGTTGTATCAAATCAACATGACACTGAATAACCTGTATAACTTATTTTCTCTATATTACCACATTAATGAATGATCTTGTTTGATTGCTCAAACCACATTTTTACTACAGACACAGACTTAGCATGAATTCTGTTATTTGGGGTAAAATTGATAGCTGATGATTATCTCATAGACCCTCTAAGCCACTGTGTGATTCAGACTTAATTTTGATATGGTCATCTTATTTTTAATTAGCTTTTCAGGTGCATACTTAAGGATTCATAGCTTTCTTCTGAAGAACTGAAAGTCCATTCATGTGAATTATTTTATCATACATCCTTCCTGTGTGGTAAGTGATGTTTTCCTTATTTAGAAGTGAGGGAAACTGAGATCCAAGTAATTGTTACACTCAAAGTCATAACAGTGATAGAACGAGAAGTTGAACCCAAAGTGGTAGAAATTTGTATTTCTCGTAAATCAAAGAATAGCTTCCTTTTGTTCACTGTTGCTCTAAATCTTAGAATATTGTTATATAGAATATTGCCCTCTCCTGGGTACTTTTCAGTTTGTCTAGGTGAGTTATTCAGAATATTACTGCTTTCAATTTCCTCTTGATTGTTCATTGACATGAATTTATTCTTTTACATTGAACTTGTGGGAAACAAAAACCCAATAAGCCCAAATCCTTACCATTTCTTGTCCTTATAATAGTAAACTTAGAAAGAATGAAGGCATTTCTGTTTACACTGATGAATTTTATCGTTATGCCAGACCCTGCTTTCCATCATCATAGTGGAATGAGGAAGAGTCCTTCAGGAGCTAAATAGCTCTGTAGCTCCTACTAAGTTTAGTCGTCATAGAATATCTATTAATTTCTGTATTTCTGTTTTGAACTTTGTGATCTTCATGCATACAACATTCAAATTTAAGGTTTCAGAAAACATATATTCCACCGCTAAACATAAAACTTTGAAAATTGTGTGGGCCACTGCTCCCAATTCGTTTGGATAATGAAAAGTTAAGTTTTAATGAATTTATTAATATTGAAATTATAGTATTATTACGTGGTTGTATATTTATTGGCATCTCCATTTAGAATCTCTAATATTTTCTGTGATTTCTGCCAGGGAAGTTTACAATTACTGGAACTTGTGGTCGATTATACCATAAGTTAATGGGTATACCTTTTAATTCCTTTGTAGATTTCATAGGGAGGAAGGTTTATCTAGGTGACAATTACAGCAGGAAAATGAAATTCTGTGATTTATAATCCCTTCTTTTGTCACTATGAGAAATTTTATTTTTCGTTATAGATGTACATTTGCTGTTTGCAAAAAGAATTACAGAAAAGGTAGATTCATCTTCCCATCCCACTCCACTCTCACCCTGTTAAAAGTTTAGCTGTTCCTTCTAGGATGTTCCTGAATCACATATAAACAAACAGATATATCCATCTATGCCTGTGCCGGTGCATAGTTTCTTTTAATAAAAAGTGAGTCATACTATATCTTATACTGTATTCTGTGATTTACTGTGCTATATTTATGTTGTATTTTAAACAATGCTAAAAGTACTCCCCAAAAGGGTCTTTAGCAGCAGTCTTTTTCTCACCCCAGTTCAGCTCTGGGGAGACAATTACTTTCATTCTTTCAGCTTTTTCATCTAGTAACTATCTCCATAATTCTAAATATTAGGCTTATTTTTTTATTGCATGAATTTTAGACATTATCTATTGACTTCTTTTGTGGTGAATAAGGAGTTATCATATATACCCAAATATAAAGCAAGATTTCTGCACCTGCAATCATCCCATCACCTTATATTTGAGATCTTAAGTAGTCACCTGATGTGATTTTCAGTTTTATTTTGAAAAGCAAAAATGTTCAAGAGGGCACATTACCTGAAACAACCTTATATGATGCTTGTTTTCTATGCTTACAGAGGTTAGCTGACAGAACCAATATTAAGGAAAAAACAGAAGGGGAATTAAAATTTAAATTTTGAGATTATTCCTGTGACTCGTGTTATTAGTGTTCATTGTATCTGTATGGTCTTGGGAAACTCCCTCAGCCTATTTGGGCTACTGCTTCCTCATCTGTAAAATGGGAGTAATACACAGTGTCAGGATTAAATGCATTATTACATATTAAGTGCTTAGAATGTGCCTGATACATGGTAAGCATGCTGTAAATATTAATTGTAATAATAATCATAACAGATCTTTCACAGATCACTAAGAAAAATGGTCTAAGGTTATTACAGAGTTTACAAATAAACTCCTATAGGACAGAATGTGTTTCTGAAGCAAATTAAATGAAAATGAAGACAAGTTACTCTGGAAAACTGTGTTAGATGACAGAAAACATGACTCTGATGACAGGTGAAGTGTTTCAGAAAATGGCAAAAGCAATATATTTAAGATAATTTTTACTATACTACTTAATGTGTATGTGTAGACTTCCATGTCTGGAGAATAATGCCAGCAGTCTGATCCAGCTTTCCCACCCACCTTCCTATAAACCTGTAAAACCAACAAGGAGCACATATAAATCACATACCATCCATGCCTTCAGCATTACCAGAAAACAGATCACCACACTCTTCAAATTACCTAAAAGTAGAGAAGTAATAAGAGTTCAATTCATAAAGTTGGTTTATTTCTCTACCTGTAAGTAAAACTTTATAGGTACTTACAGGTAGAGAAATAAACTAAATAAAGTACAGTAAACCACCCCCAGGAAGAGAAAATCCACAAGAAGTTCCGAAACACTGAACAGAGGTCTGGAGTTTAATAGTTCGTAGCTCTAGCGATGGAGAAGAGCTTGAAGGTAAGCAGTACCAGAATTGATAGTCTTAAATTATAAGCACTGCTTCATAGAGAGAGGGTGAAGACATAGAGTTTTGGAGATACGGCAATGAAGAAAAAGAAGGAAGAGGAAAAATTCTTCAGAAAAAGAAAGAAAAACTGAACTCAGAAAAAAGGGTGTTCTTGAACTAGGAACTCTCAACATGAAATGAATAGAAATAAAAAAGAATGGATTATATCCATATAGAACCACTATAAAAATAAGCAAAAATATATGAGTAAAAGCATTTCAACTAAGGAAAACCTACCCATCCAAAAAGATACACACGCACACACACACAGCAGAAGAACACTAACATAACTCAAAGTGAAATTAAACACCCTAACACCAATGTTTGGAGATATGAAAAGTAACGTTAAGAAATATTTTGAGGCCGGGCGCGGTGGCTCACGCCTGTAATCCTAGCTCTCTTGGAGGCCAAGGCAGGTGGATTGTTTGAGCTCAGGAGTTCGAAACCAGCCTGAGCAAGAGCGAGACCACGTCTCTACTAAAAATTAGAAAGAAATTAATTGGACAACTAAAAATACATAGAAAAAATTAGCCGGGCATGGTGGCGCATGCCTGTAGTCCCAGCTACTCGGGAGGCTGA